CCAATAGGAAACAGGGAGTTGTTTGCATTTTAATTTCAGCCCTTTATATATGTATACACACGTACATAACAATTACTTACACGATAATTGCTCATGACATAGTACTCGACCAACAAGCTATGAGAAGCCCGTGATGCGGATAAACTGCGTTCAAATTAAATATCATCGAACTATTATCATAGAAATGATATGGAAGAAAATGCTCTGGTCGTGTTAGAGTGTGATAAGATTGTTACAAGGAAGTTATATTTCCAGAAGAGCTAGATAAAAAGGTTCGACTAGCCGAAGTATCTAGATGAGACCGTTTATTGAAGCGTTCACTTCTTGCTGAAGTGAAAGACAAAACACACTAAACACGATTTTCGCATAAGGCATGCCTTTATTAAGTAACCCAGTCGTATATATGTATGTATATTGTTATTTGCTTTGAAAAAGAAAAGACATTGTTTCTTTTTCGATCAATCTTCTTACTACCATGATTGCCGCCGTCGTCGACGGTTCTCATCATTGAATCTGTGCTACCCACAATGACGATTAATCGTAACGGAGCATAAGCATATAGTCGGCACCAACAACCACGTCCAAGAGCAGCCGCACTGTGCATTTACTAAATACGAAATGGATGTACTGACAACTAGCACATAATAGATGTGAGTGTGTGTAAAAACAGAGCGACAAATATACTATACGCGATTATAATCGAAATAGAAACAAATCTTCCTTATCAAGCCAAGGATTAGCTGCAATGCACAAACAATATGTAAATGTATAAATAAATAAACAACAAAGAATATATAAATGTATTACTAAGATAACATAAGGACTACGATAGGTCAATCTTTAAAATTTCGTTTTATTGTTATACTGTTGGCTAGTTGTAATCCGTTATAAAAGAAACTGATTTTCTTCAGCTGAGCCCAGCAGAAGCTCTTCTTAATAATATGGAAAATAAAGCAACGAAGGAGTGCATGAATGATCAAATAGGCGATTGGTGCGGACACGCAGATTATAGTGGCACAATTAGGCAGCACAGGGGCGGCGGTGGCCTTTTCATTTTGAAAAATATCCGAACCGACGGTTTGGCGTGCGGCTTCAATAGACAAAGCAAGTATTTCTATAGGATAGACTCCTTTGTACCGCCTACAGACACCCAGAATAGATTTCAGATATAAGTCAAGGAAGAACAGAAGCGCCGTTCGGTTGCTGGGAAAAAGGTGTCAATATATTTTGTATTTTCTAGTTTTGCTATTATGGTCAGTCGTGATTACAACATCTTGTGGGTTGTCTCGTAGTAGAAATAACCGCTGTCATAATTTATCAAAGCTTTTGGATGGTTTAGACTTTTGCGTTCTGCTACTGTTTTGTCACCGGCATTGTCATCATCACCGCTGCCGCCACAATGCTTTTGCTATTCATTTTATTTATATTACTATACAATTTATGTAAGAAACGAAGTTAGCGAGTGCGCAAGTACCGAAAAAGCCTCAGAGCGCTTGCCATCATCCTTACCCTCATCAGCATAATCATCGTCGCCACGTGTCATTTCTCGGATCGCATCATATAGTCTAAATAGATGTGTGTATAGAAAATTCTATATATAAATAGTCGATTTGAGTTTAACAAACTGCACAGCATATATGTAACACGCTGGTTTACGAGTGCCGGCGACGTTCTAATGCTTCTGACGGTTTTTGTCCTTAATATGCTATTAGGCCTATATATATATATATATATATGTACTTCTTTCGCTGTGTCTATGTGTGGGCGTGCCTACGTATGTGTGGGCGTGCCTACGTTCACCTGGCCACATGTTCCTTCGTAACTGCGCGTGTCTAGCATTATTATTAACATTACTGTGCCCTCATAATTTGCTACGATTACATTTTTAGTATATATATATATATACACACTAAAAATGTATATAGCCGGCTATAATGGTGTTCGTAATAATTCTGCCTACGTTGTTCCGTGAACTGTGGCCCTGGTGAGAGACCCGGGTTAGAATTGTGGCGTCGTTTGGTCGTTAATTTTTAGTGTATGACAGTGGTCTACGTAGTTCGCGTTTGTGCCGACACGATACAAACTGGAGCTCGCAACGGATGGTCGTCTATCTGCTTTTATTTGACGAACAATTATCTCGCTTTCATTCCCGACAATCAATCCCGTAGAGAATAAGCGCCCTAGGCAACGTTCCATGGGTAGGATCTTTCGATTTCTACATTTGTTCCGCTATTTGGCTACTAATAGTGTATGGCATTTTGTCGTATAGTGTATATTTGTTCATTAAAATTTCCTTCTTTATACGTATTTGGCCATGCGATGTACTAATCATACGAGGTACGACTTGGCTACCTGGCAACGCCGCCTGGTGCCTAAGCTACTCTGTCCCTCTGCGCATGCTCAAACTAAGCGCTTTCAGAAAATCAGCCGAATTACTTAAATATAATATGTCTCCACACGAACTTGTCGATGTGGCCCTTCGAGAATACGATTCGGGCACTTTTTCAATATAGAATAAGTAAAGCAACGACGAAGAACAGTTGCTGTTCCTACGTGCGCGTCCACTAAGAACATTCATCTCGGATTGATTAAGATTGATTGAAGGACTGACCGAAAGAACTACTGTTTGTTTAATCCTTTATCGTGCGTCCGAACCAAGTTTTCTCTTATATTTTCTCGACCAGTTGGATATATTTGTCAGTAATATGGCTTACGGCTCCTTGAATCGGCAGGAGCTATTCGTACATATTGCCGCTCTGTTCGAGTGCTGCTGCTGCTGCTTCTTCATCCGCTACATTTACTGTTGTCTGCCTAAGTGTCATGATCACATGCAAATATCTCTTCGAATGATTTCCAGAGCTCCTCATTTATAGCTACATAAATAACAATGTAACTGTAATTTTCCTTAATGAACTCCTCGCGATACTTCACCGTGGAGAAGACATCTAACGATATATAAAGGTCCTATCATCAGGAGGCTATATCTCGTAGAGAAATCACACAAAATGCTTGGATCACCTCAATGATTTAACCACACCATCAGGCGTCGATCAATATTCAGCAAATTTATAAATGCATTATTAAAGGCAACTTCTTTCTCTATCGTCAATAATAACTCGTTTATATAACGGGGAATTGGCCTATAGTAAAATAGATGCCGGTCAACTTGCCTCTCTTACTTCTCTGTGGAAAATTTCTTCTTCTTATTTCAGATAACGGAGATGTCTATTACGTTTCGCTTGGACAATTAACATGCAACCAGAATCTGATGTACCCTAGAATGGTTCATTCAGAAACGTAAGGTAAAAGCGACAGGACACAACAACGCAGAAGTCTGCTGAAGAATGACGCCTACAGCTTTCATCAGAAACAAGAGAGTAGTATCATTCTTCTTCTACCAGAAATTTCAGATGTAGTAAACGGACCTATTCCATCCAAGGGGAGGAAGAGCCATGTTGGCTGTAAGGGGTTAGAGTGTGCATTTGCGGCTTATCATGTGTATGATATAACACAATGCAGTCTCGTCGTATGATATTATCGTTACCGCATTGTACATATCGCGCAGATGATACTGGATGGTTATTTTGAAAAGATGCCCAACCAATATTCAGGAGAGATTGATCTGTTGGATTGACCTGCACATATTTGACCGATGAGGTTGATATCGTGGAGTTATGGGGTGGGTAAGACGCCACCGACGCACATTGTGAAGCAGCGACGTTTCTTTGGTACGGCATTATCGACAGCTGGAACCTGGATTTGGAGATCCTTAACTAGCGACTGAACAAGGACTCATCGTCAAACCTTGTAACCTTACGCCAGCAGACCGTGCCTGAAGCTTTCTAGAGACTTCAGTCGAAGACTTGTCCCGTTACGCTCGAAAAACAAATATTCTTCCGCACCCTCATGCTGACAGTACCCGTTCAAAATTAACGCTAGGCTATTGCAAATGCTCCGTATATCATCATTGTTATCATGATACGATTAGGTCTTTCTTAAAGCGGTCGTTTATTGTCTAACTCCTTGTTGGCGTTATAAGTTATTTCTATCGAAATTCAGACTTTTATAACTTTCTTCAATCTGTTGGGTCATCAATGATTTTTGAATACTATTAACTTGTATCACAATCTGCTGACTCGCTCTAGATTATGCGTTATCGAAGTATGGGATAGAGTACGCAGCTAAATATATATCAGTGGGTTAGTTCATCGTTACGTTAGTTCTGCTGGCAATAGGATTGTAGTTAGCGGAATTAATGATCTTGTGAGCTCATTAACGATTAATCTCGATCAGCCATAAATTGTTCTTCAGGCTAAATTCTATTTCCCAACCTATCGTCCTTTGACCAATATTTGAGAGCCTATTTGCTCGGAAAAGAAAGCTCGGTCCAGTTAACAGGTGCAAAAATGCGTCTCGTTCGCTTTTGTGGCCTATGGCAACCTTGGCCAATGAACCAACAAAGCGTCGACAACAAATGCTGCGTGCTGTTGTAATGTTTTTGTGAGATGGCTTTTTAAATTGATTGTACAACTCTTATCAAAAATATATAATCGCCTTATATCTGTTAATTATCATCTGCAAGGAGCCATTTTGCAGCTGCGACCCAACGTCGAAATATCGCTATTCCAATAAACCTATATCAAACACATTTGATACGATTATAGACGATGCAGCTGTTCATTGCACGTAGCACGAATTTATTATACTGAACTGTTAACAGGCGAATGAACACGGATACAATAGAATTGTTCGTTTCTACGATCGAATAGCGATCCTCAGCTTCACTTCTTGTTAGATATAAGTTATACAAAAAAAAAAGCCTATGTATGTCGTTTTACCGGGTCACAAAGAGTAGCACCGCAATGAGTGCCCCCTTCTAATGTGTAC